TAAATCAGACTTCTGCTGACTGGCATCTCACTTGCATACACAGATGCCTGGATGCTAAAATTGCATTTATGGTGGAGTTGTCTGAGTCAGACCATGCTATGGACATGGCAGTGGTTAACTGGACGTCCCAACCATGCTGGGCCACTGAGCCCAGACATTCTGGCTCAGTTCTGGCTTAGGGTGCTTTCCCTTGAGATTAATATTTAAACTGGTAGGTTTGATGTAAACAGTATTCTCTAACGTGGTTGCTCTTGCCCTATCAGTTGAAGGCTTTTGTGTGTACTGTATGCCTGTATGCTTGTGTGCACATCTTCATGGGGATGTATTTGCGTTTATCTGTAGATGCATACATGAGCATGTAGACTGGAGGCTGATGCTGTATATCTCCCTTGACTGTTCTCACCCCCTCCATGATGCTTTTTGACATAGGACTGAAGCTCAAAAATGAAGAAAAGATGTGTAGGGGGTTGAAGCTAGTGTCGAAAGCATTTTACTGTTGTTCATTGTATGAGCAAAGCACAGGTCTCAGGACTGTAGGAACTGCAAGGACGAGGTCTAGATCATAATCTCTCCAGCAAGGGCATTTGAACAAATGAATGTACAATGGATAGTTAGACCTTTGGAAGGCTTCTGTTTTCTTGGCTTCTCCTGTCTCCATAGCATCCTGGGTGTGGCTCAGATGCCTTCCTCCTAAAGATGCTGGCACTGAACTGAAACACTTGATTTTATTGCTGTGCATTGTGAAGTGCTGCCAAGTTTCCTGAGGCTGCAAAGGCACAATTTAGGGAGGTTATATAAAATGATAGGTAATTATTTTTTACAGTTTTGGGGCCTATCAGTCCAATATCCATGTTTCTCTGAGGCCTTGATCCCTCTGAAGGAAAGATCCTACCATGCGTCTTCCTCACCTCTGGCTGAGATCAATGTTATGTGTAGGACTCACGCTCAGCCACTATAATCTTTACTTAGCATGGCATTAAGTACACATTCGACTGCCAGAAAGATTACAGAAGTAGCGGAGGAGGAAGAGAAGAATGAAGAGGAAGAAGAAGAGAGGACTGGGGAAGGAGAAATACGAGGAGTGAAAGCAGGAAGAAATGGGGAGGAAGAGAAGGTCAGCTTGAGTGCATGAGCTTTCTTCATCTAAGGTTCTGCAGACCATGGTGGTTAAAAACTTTCTAGGCATGTTTGACTCTGAATGTCTGGAAATGATGTCATCATTCTGTGCCTTAGTTTCCTATTCTATGATGTATGGTTAATGAAAGAACTTTCCTCACAGAAGCATTGAGAGATGATTAATTAATCAATATAAATTTAAGTGTTTAGAATAGTACACACTCATGGGAATCAATAGACACTTGTGTCCTAGGGTTTCTGTTGTGAAGAGACACCATGACTATGGCAACTCTTATAAAGGTAAACATCTAACTGGGGCTGGTTTCAGAGGTTTAGCCCATTATCATCCTTTCAGGACATGGCAGGAAGCAGGCAGATGTGATACTGGAGAAGGAGCTGAGAGTTCTACATCTTGATCTGCAGACAACAGGAAGTGAACTGCATACCACACTGAGCAGAGCTTGAGCATATGTAAGACCTCAATCCCTGCCTCCACAGTGGCACACTCTCTCCAACAATGTTACACCCACTCCAACAAGGCCATACCTCCTAATAGTGCCACTCCCTATGGGCCAAGTATTCAAATACATGAGTCTATGGGGACCATTCCTATTCAAACCACTACAACATGTAATTGATAATTGAACTATTTTGTAAATACTGGACTCTGAAATGCTCAGGAACTTGTCATTTCAGAGGACAACACAGATACAAATAAAGGTAAGGTCATATTGGTTTCCTGTGAGCCCTCCATTCTGTATTGATAGCTTTAGGAAGATAGCCATTTCCAGACATTTGAGAACAGAAGCAGGCACTAAGGTTGATGCCAGGAGATGAGGTCCCAGGATCCGAAGCCTCATGGAAGGAGGAGGCAAGGGGGTGTTTGGGATCTGCAGAAAGATGGCTTCATCTTTATATGACCTTGAATGAATAAATTAACCTTTCCTTGTTTTAGACTCAAGTGTTCAAAATGAGATAAGAGCTTCTAACAGCACCTGCCATGTGTCGATGTTATGCCGTTTATTAATATAATTGTAACCATAGATACAAACAAATATTAATTAGTCATTTTTACAGGGGCGAAGCACTTCAGAAGAAATCAACCTGCCCGTCAAACAAATATTATTTTAATGCATAGTTTGCTTCCTCCACTTTGACTCTGTGTGTATTGCATGTTTGCTCTGAAACAGCTGTGAAAACCTTGGCAGTGGAGGAAATCCTTCTCCTTCCTGGCTCTACCCAGAGGCTCCCCACTCCTAATGGCACAGGGAGCCTGGGCAGGTGAGGATGACTAATGACCACCATGCCTCCATCCTTGCCAGGAGCCCCTCTTTGGTGTGGGCAGTGAGCACTGCAGGCCCCGGGTGAGCATAAATGTACTACCCGAGCCTGGGTGAGTCTTATCGCTCTGACCACACAGCAAAGATGAGCAGTTCCATTCATTTCTATGCTTCCCTGACGCCCAGCTACCTGTAAGTCTCATTCATTCCAGGGAGATAATCTCCATCACAGACTTCTATGTCAAATTGACGGTAACAACTCAATTTCATTTAGAATTAAATAAACAAACACTGTATCATTGACTTTTTTTTTTCCTTCTACAAAATAAAAACAGTGATTTGTCTTTTGAGTGGAATTGATGGTGCGATTGGCCATTGACAGAAATTTGGGAATGGGATGGATTTAGAGACATGACGTTCAGTTGATTAAAAAGAACTCTTGGCAGCTTGCATGTGGTTGTCATAGGGCTGGGGGGGATGTGACAAAGAATAGTTAACCCACAAGGACTGCAAAGGCTTGACTTGCATTTGGGGCAGTGGGTAAGACTCAGTCTCGGGAGTTCTTGTCACACAAGCTTGAGCATGTGATTGATTCCCAAAGCCTGTCTATTAGAGCAGGTGGCCTGAAGTACCAGGTCTGGGACAGTGGGGGCAGGTGAGTCCCTTGGACTTGACAGCTCAAGAGCTTAGCAGAATGGTTTGAGCTCTGGGCTCAGCAAGGATGCTGCCTCAGAAACTGAGGTGGACTGAATAGTATCTCCTGCTTCTGTATAAGTTATCTACAAAGCGATTGTTGGATGTGAGGTCTGTTTTTATTGGCTGTTTCCAGGAACAACACAATCAGAGTAGAGTCAGCTGTAGGATCAGCTGTGCTATAAGGCCAGCGTAGTTAGCTGGCTGTACATATGTAAAAAGGGAACAGCTCACGTCCACAACTTTACAGTGGGACTGGTACATAGGATGAAGTCCCTCCAGCCTAGAAAATACAGCTTTCTTTGTTCTTCTCTTCCAGGCCTTGGATTAGGTCTAAAGCACAACAATTCGAGGGGAAAAAATGAGAGAAGAAACTTTGATTTCCCTTTTAAGTGAACAAACAGATACGCCGTGATTTCTGGCAGGGCTAAATCCTGTCTTGAAATACAGTCCCGGCTGCCTTCTTTGTTTTTAGTTCAAAACCAGTAGCTTGGGACTAAGAGAAATGCTAGAGCAGGGACGGGGACACTCACTGCTCCTAATAAATTACCAGGAGGTGGAGGGGGCGAGCCTGGCAAGGACAGAGCTTGGGGACTCGCGGTGCAGGGATTCCCCAGGACACCGCAAAGAATCCAGCAAACCCTGGCTTCCCGGGGTAGATGACTCTGCTGCACACTGGAGCACTTAATACCACTTAATAAAAATAAGCAGATCTCCATGCTGAAGTACTCGGGTGCCTTACAGCTTGCAGCTTCCTCCAGTAATGTAATAGCTCCCCTTGGGTTTCACAGCCAGACAGACGCACACGATACGGGTGGAAAAAAAAGCCTTTGCTTGGTCAACGAGTCGTGTTGCTGACTAAGGCTGATCAAAACAGAGGCCACCTTTTCATTTCCAAGAGGGGACTTTTGGTTGCCTGACAAATTGAATTTACTATTCCTTCTGTAAATGAGAAAGAGTCTCAAGTATCAGCTCAGCGTGTGAATCCGTGAGGAAAAGTGGGCACTCGGTCCATGAAAACGCAATGGGTCTGGTGACATGCGATTCCGTTATGTACTGTTTGAGCACACATAACACAAAAATGAACATTTGAATAACACTTGCACACAGTCTTTAAAATGTGCAGCCTTCCCCAGGAGTGGGCGCTTCTCCCACCGGAGGGTGCTGTGTGGACCAATGCTGAAAGAAGAGCCAGGTCCAGGAATTTCTGTAGCAGATACTATAGCACCTCCCAGTGTGGATCTCCTGGACTCTGCAGGGTGGCGCTGCCATCTGCAACACTCACTGGCCGCCTATCATACTGCCAGGCAGTAAGTCATTAGCCTTTGGGGACATGTTTACCAGTAGGTTGCCCACGCCGCAGAGGATCGCCTCACACCCAGACATTTATGGCATTGCTGGCTAGACTCAGACCGTGGTTAATAACAATAGAGAAGGGACAGGAAGTTGGAAGGAGACAGAGTGGGATGATGGGGTGGGGGGGGTGGATGGAGAAAGTACAGAACGGATGTGATCAAAATATGTTGTATAAGTGATGATATTTTGAAAGAATAAATACTATTTTAAGAAATGTCTAGAATAAAATAGAATATATAGGTTATATTTGATAAAAAGCATCCAACAAAGAGACATTTTAAGTTTTATTTGTTGAACTTACAAACTAAGGCATTTCCATATGGCTTCTTTGTACATCCTTGGGTTAATCCACCACTGTACTGGGCTCTGCTCAGGTCCTCCGCTGCCAGCCTCACTAAACACGGTAACAGGGATATCAGCCCCCCTCCCAAACACACCTCATCGTTCCTGTCACCTCTGCTCTGCTGCCACCTCTGTAGATTTTGCTGGGATTACATGCAGGTAGATGTAAGTTTCTGTACAGATTTCATGTATGCTTCATTTTGCTAAGTTTCCTCACCCCTCATTTCCCCTGCCCCAACTCCCCCAATGTTTGACCTTTTCCAGCCTCAGTATCCCCTCTGTTTTCATGGCACCTACCTTTTCCTATTTCCCACGCCTTAATGTATCTGCTTTCAATAGTCCATACATGATAACCTGGATTCTACATGTACTTCAACTTAAACATACAAAACAGAGACTCAAAACTAGGACCCACCCACACATAAGAGAGTTAGTTTGTCTTCCTGAGTTTGGCTGACCTTTTTCGGTGTAATTGTTTTTCCAGTTCTGTGTATTTACTTGTAAATGTCACATTTCATATTTCTTTACAGCAATATTCTACTGTGTGCCACATTTTCCTTATGCATTCATCCTGATATTAGAATATGCTACAGATGGTTTCTGAATTTTCACTCATTTTAATGCTCATTTGAAGCTGCTGTCTTGTGATTGGGTAAAGAAATGCACCTAATGCAGAACTGAACTCAGATGGGCACAAGTGCACAGCATTTATGATTCAGTTAGTGAAAGGAAAGGATGCTATGGCTCAGCCAGTGACTTCCTCTGAATTATTAGAAGCCCCAAAGTGGTCTATCTCCGCAGATGGGCAGGGACTAGCTCCCGCTGGCTGTGGAACAGGAGCAGGACAGTTTTTCAGGACAGATGAATGTAACCAGGAGAGCATTCTGCTGTTTTTCTCTGCCACCTCTGATGCAGAATTTGATGCTATATTTGAATCCTTAGAGGATGCTGCTCTGGATGGCTGGTTCCATCTACTGCAGAGAAGTATGGATGATGTGGGAGTGATTTCTTATTCATAAAGAAACTGCCTTAGCCCATTTGATAGGCCAATCCTTAGGTAGGCGGAGAAAACAGAACAGAATGCTGGGAAAAAGAAGCTGAGTCAGGAGTCGCCATGATTCTCCCACTCCAGACAGACGCAGATTAAGATCTTCTCTGGTAAGCCACCTCGTGGGCTACACAGATTATAAGAAATGGGTTAGATTAATATGTAAGAGCTAGCCAATAAGAGGCTACAGATAACGGGCCAGGCAGTGTTTAAAAGAATACAGTTTCCGTGTAATTATTTCGGACATAAGCTAGCCATGCGGGTGGCCAGGTGCCAGGGACGCAGCCTCGCCGCTCCTATCACTACATATGGAGAGCAGGAGTTAGAAGACAGGGAATAAAATCAACTCACCTATGGACCACGATTAGAAGAGACTGTCTGCAACTGGGGTAGAATTGTGTCTTGAAGAACAGTGAGAAGGGATCCTCAGGTTCAAGGTGCTGATGCTCAAGACATTACTCCACCATGGGATGAGTGACAGTTTTGACTTGCTGTTCATCTTCTGGCTTTTAAAGACTATTCATAGATTACAGAGGAGTAAAGGAAGATAAGGGCAGGACTTACACTATTACTGGGAGTGACTTTGAGTTCCAAGCCATTTCCTAGGCCAGCTTTCTAGAATAGCTCAGGGTTCTAGGGTCTTCAAAAGACAGCAGTTGATATTATCCTCATTAGAATAACACCAGTCCAGCAGGCTCAGGGAGATGTAGCTGAAGTCAACAGAAATTGCTTCTTTGAAAGCCCCAGTGTGTAAACCCTTCATTCATGTGAGGTATGGATGGTTTACACACAACATGACCCTCTGTCTTGTTCCTTTCTTCAGAAGCATGCTGTCCTATCTAGAGACACTAGTGTTTTTCTCTCCCTTATAAATCACCTTTTCCATGTGTTCTGAGTCAGGCTCTTTAGAGCCATCCTGTGTCTGCCCCCTTAGCTGATGTATTATCTTAGCTGATGTACTGATAGTCTAGATTGCCCTCCATCACCAGCTTTTTGTCACCTTTGGTGAGTCCTTATCCATACCTGAAGTTCCCATTTGGACTTGGTTTACATCTTCAGCTCTCGATCAGGTTGTAGGGGGAAGTATTTCTGTACGGTGAGTTTCTAGGGCCAGGTCATCTGAGATCACATTTGTCTTGGGTGGAGGAGTCATCTGAGAGATGTCTGCTGCTCAAATGTTGTATGTGGACATTGCCTTGGCTTCGTTTCTTATTGCTCTGATGGTAGAACTTGTGGGAGCAAGGGACTATTTGGCTCACGGGTTATAGTTCATCATCTTGGAGAAGCCAAGGCTATGGGAACTTGGAAGCAGTTCTTCATATCTGGGGTCAAGAGCAAAGAGCAATGAATTAATTCATACATGCTGTGCTCACTTCACCGTCTCCATTTGGGTAGGTGTTATAATTCCACTGTGAGATGTTTTCTGATTTGCAATCGGTGTATAATAAAATTGTAATGAATTAAAGCAAAAAAAATGAACATCAAATGACAAAATTTTCATTGATAAAATGCAGTCCTTTCAAGACTGTCTTCTGCTGATGGAGTTCTACTGTCCCCAGCACTCGTTTTTATGTGTAAATTTATAAAAAGAAAATGTTATTTTTAACAGATAAGAATCAGGCTAACTTAACATGTATAATATGGAGTTTCCATGGTCACCTGCTTAGAGATCAAAGAGTTATATGTGTGTGCTTCTACTCAGTAGTTTTTCAAACACAGGAGATGACTTCTTGGTTGATGCACAGACAGTTTGGTCACCAACTGCTGGAGGCAGACGGAAAGTTCTCCTGTCCTTGTAGCTTGCTAAGTGTGTTTGTACACATTGGCTTAAAATCCTTTCAATGGAAGCCAATGAGTTGGGTTCTGTTGGGCAGGCAGCTACTCTGCAATTTTGTCTTGTAAAAGTCCCTGCTGCCAGAATGGAGCTTGACAGAACTTACGCTGACTCATAGGGGAATATTCTTCACCTTTCTCTCACCTGCCAGCATTTCTGGACTTTAATTAGCCAGAGGGCATGCCTGTCACATCTCTGGAAGGAAGAAAGCAGCATCCCAATCTCTTGTGTGTCCTACTGATTTCAAATTTTATAGTAAAAAGAAGAGCATGTAGTGGTTCTTTTGTAGGACAATTCTGGTTTTAAAGTACAAGTGATAGACTTAAAACAACAACAAAATAGCATTTTTTAATAAATAAATAAAAGCAAACTACTGTTTTTGAAAAATCTACTCTCCATTATCCAGTACATTAGGGTTTGTGTATCACAATGCTCAGCATGGATACATTGTGGAAATTGTTGCCTTACTATTAATCAGCGGGGCTTTGTGGAGGTGTGTGTGTGAGAGTGCGTGTGCAGGAGCACAGACAGGATCAGAGTTTGCTTCTGTGGCTGGACTGCAGAAAGCAGGTTGAGGAGCAGCCCTGAGCAGTTATATGTGTGCGCTTGCGTGCGTGTGTCAACATGGAAATGCAGTGCTCCTTCCTAAAGATAAGATCCTCATCTGTTCTCATCCCCGGAATCCAAGACCCAAGTGTGCAGCCTTACCATCAACTGACTCCTGCTTTTAGAGCTACCAAACAGTGCACAGCTTTTCATGGAAACACTTTTCATTAGCATTTCATGTCACTGGAAAATAACTCTGGATTAACCAGCTGATCCACACCACAAATAGCTGTCTTCTCCGAGGTCTAATTCACTTTGCTTATAAATGCTTACAGAGGAGGTTTTTGTCTTCATCACACAAGCTCCAAACTGGCAAGGAGCAGATCAAAGCAAAATGGTTCTTACCTCTGTCAATCATTTTACCTCTTTCAAGGGGCTCTGCTGACCCTCCTCCATTTCCCAGGTGGTGAGGTGGTGCTAAGGCTTACTGCCAAGCAGCAAGGATAACACTGCAATTCTTTTATTGTTTTTTCCACTGCCAAATACCATTCTGGAATTTAAAGTGAGGCCTATAGACTGGCTTATTTGAGTTTATTTTTAAGCTATCTGCATGAATGAGTGGGTAGACTCCTCTTTGCTTGGCAGTATGTCCTTCCGGCCCGGGCAGAAACAGAGCCCACAAACTTAGGGAAATGTGATGTAAAGAATTCTCCATGCATTTCAAATGAACAGACAGCTGTCAGGTATAGCAGGGGGAAGACTAGAGGGCTGAGATTCTGGAAAGATGAAATAGCTTAACAGTTGCATTCTGACGTATCCATCTTGACTTCTGAAGGAGGTAAGGTTCTGCTCAAGCTTAGTGTGATGTTGGCTTTCCCCTTCTTTTCTTCAGCTTTAAGGATGCATCGGAAGTCAGTCTGAATAATCCATCAGCGTCCTGTGGCTGCAAACAAAGGACATCAGAGAAAGCACATGGACTCTCCTTCCCTCCCACTTATAAAAAGAAGGTAAATACGTGCACACATTCTGCGTAATGTTCTGTTTACTGAAAACTGGGTGCTTTATGATAAAATGAGGAAGCTTATGGTGCCAACCGTTAAACTATATGAAATGTTCGATTTCATCTGGGTTCAGGCTTTAACACTAAGCCAGGGGGAAAACGTGCCGCTTCTGGGAATGGAATTTTGGCAGCACTGTTGGATGGCACTGATGAGGCTGGAAGGCTCCTGAGCACGAAATACCATCACTTGGGGTGTGCAGCCCAGTGCCAATCTGTGCCAAATTCTGGTCTTCATAAATATTTATGAGTGGTCCCTGCCATCTCATTAGAATTGAATTCAAAGACAACAGGTGCACTCGGATGCTGCTCCAGCGAGGCCAACTCACTTTGCCACACTCCAAGTTTTATATTTAGCACAATCTGTGCAGGACACTTTCTGACACTCACTCCTTTCACTCAGTTTATTTTTTAAAAATGTTGGTTGGGCATGTCGAAGTGCCAGTCACTCATATCTAGGCAACCACTGTCCGCTTTGAAATGCGGCAGCTGAAGAAAACACATTGATAATTGTAAGTTCCACGGTGCAGCATGCAGTGAGAGGAACACGGAGTGGACCCTGAGGGTTCTTTGCATGAAGATGTGCCTTCTGTGTCCTGTTCAGAAAGGCAGAGTGGGGGGCTTGCATGGTGCTCAGGGATTCACCAAGACAGACAGAGATGGGGAGGGACAGAAGGAGGGCACATGGACAGGGAGAAACCTGGGTTGGTTGAAAACCCAGCAAAGGTGTGAACATGGCTTCAGGAATGGGAGGGAGAAGATGAAGGTCAAGAACAGAAAAACAATGGGGAGTGGAGATGAAGTGTTGGAAGGCTGGTAAGCTGTGCTGAAAAACCCAGTAACTGTTGGATAAAGGGCTGCTTGCTGGTTCCCGGATGCCCAGCTAGCTTAGTCCTGAAATAATCAGACAGAAACCGTATTCATTAAATCACTGCTTGGCCAATTAGCTCTAGCTTCTTATTGGCTAACTCTTACATCTTAGTTTAACCCATATCCTTTAATCTGTGTATCGCCACGTGGCAGTGGCTTACCAGCAAAGTTTCAGCATGTCTGACTCAGGTGGCAGCTGCAAGACAGCCCTCTCTAACTTCGCCTTCCTCTTCCCATGCTATAGGCCAAGCCAGTTCTTTATTCATTAACCAATAAAAGCAACGCATAGACAGAAGGACCTCCCACACCAAGTAACCCAATGCTTTCAATAGATGTCTGTCAAAGGCCCTATCTCTGTTTGGCACTACTTATTTATTATTATTGTTATTGTATTATTATTATTATCATTATTGTTATTATTAATTACATGTGTGTGTCTGTGTATGGCATGTGTGTGGTATAGATGAATGTGTGTATACAGGTGTATTTGCCCATGTGTGCAGAGGTCAGAAGAGGATGCCAGGTGTCTTAATCGTTCATGCATAACCTTTTCCCTTGAGGCCACTTCATTCTCTGAACCTGGAGCTAGGCTGGTAGCCACCCAGCCCTCAGTGCTGACGGTACTGGCTTGTAAATGGCCACACCTGGCCTCTTTTTCCTTGCATGCTGGGGACGTTGGGGATCTGAACTCAGCTCCTGCTAGCATAGCAAGAGCTCTTGTTCACTGAACCTCCTCCTTTCCTAGCCCCCCAGAAACTGATTCATGTGCTAAAGATAAACAATGAAAGAAAGAAAATCGCCAAAGGATCCAAAGGACGGAGGCTGGAGAAACGGTTCAGTGTCTAAGAGGATTTAATGCTTTTGCAAAGTACTTGGGTCCAATTCCTCATAACCCTCTGTAACTCCAGTTTCTAGTGATCTGACTTCTTATGCCCTGTATAGTCACTGCATGCACATGATACGCAGACATACATGATAAAGTTGTGTGTGTGTGTGCATAATGAACATTAAAGAAAACAAAGACCATGAATTTGAAAGAGAGCAAGGGGGACTCTATGGAAGGTTTTGGAGGTAGGAAAGGGAGAAGTGATATAATTAGGCTATAATCTCAAAATAATTAAACAGATATATCTTTTTATAAGATGCTGATGGTACCCAGGTGGACCTTGAGTGTTAGTAGGTACAGAAACCAAACAGTAAATGTAGAGTGGATTAATTCTTAATCTGGGCTAATGAGGAGATGAAGTGATCTTCACAGGGTGGGCTCATGACCCATCAGGCTAACCCCATCAGAAGGAGATAAGACTGGAGTCATGTCAATAGCCACACAAAGTATACATCACTAAGTGGCACCTTTCAGTCTAGACTCCTCCCTGGGATTTAGCTAGCCTGTAAACTTGAATTAGAGAGAAAATCATAAGCATTACATTCCTTTAAGCAAGCTTACTATTCAAATTTTCATATTCCTGTAAATCTGCATATTCCTGTAAATCTGCATATTCCTGTGAATCTGCATATTACTGTGAAAAGCCTTGGAAGGCAGTACAACACCTCTGCTTTCACTACCAGTTTGCAGATGCTTTTGTTTTGCTTTGGTCGATTAATTAATTAATTTTTGAAACAGGGTCTTGGGTATCTCAGACTAACCTTGAACTTCTGATTCTCCACACTACAGGGATTAAAGACATGCACAACCACATTAGGTTTGTGCTTGGCTGGAGAATTGAACCCAGGGTCCTGTGAACACAAGGCAAGCGAATCCTCTACCAGCTGAACAATGTGCCCAAACCCAGCTCTTTCTCAGAGGCCTCAGGATGGCATCTTTGACATTCAGCTACTGTTAGTTGTCATGCAGGATTTTGTGATTTTGTTGCACCAAAGCAAATGTGTTTCAACAGCAAGACTCATGCGTAGCTCTGGACTCCTGTGCATTATAAAACATCCTTTAGAGAAGTGTCCCTTTGCCTTAGTCGGCCTCAAGTTTCTGTGGTCTAGCTGACGGGGCAGGGCATATTAACACCTTCTCCTGTTAAAGGTTACAAGAATAAATACCCGCATGCTGAAGTGTGTTCAGTGTTCTAGAAATAGCTAGAGGCCAGTCACAAGGAGCAGGGTCTCCTATATGGGGCTCAGGTTGCCAACACCCTGCTGGGCTCACCAAGGTAGGACATGCCATGCACAGCATGATGCTATCAGGGCTTGTACATTGGGAAGCCTGGCCAAGAAAACTCAGAAAGTTAATGATTTTCTTTTTTTAAAAAAAAAAAAAAGCCAAACTAATTAACACTGGGAAAGCAGGCTAGTCATCTCCTTCCCCGTGAGAACTGTTCCAGGCCCTGCTTTCTGTTGGAGCGCATTGCCCATTAGATCTGAGGTCAGAGCCTGGCCACGCTTCTCAGCACTGAGAATTGAGCCACCTGAGATGAAATTCTACCCAGCAACACTTGTTTCTCTGCTTCAATCCTCTCCACACTGAGCTGCTGGCGTTCTTTCTGTTTAATAATTATGCCGCCTCCCATCTTGTCTTGATGTATTTTAATCTACAGTATCAAAGCGTCTGCATGCAGTTTGAAGTTAGTGGCATTTCCAGTCTTGTATGCGAGGAAGGAGAACAGATTAGTCTTTATCAGCTCTGCCATTGTGTGTCAACTGCACACACCCCAGTTGTTCCTCAGTGTCCGGTGCTGCACAGCCTTGCTGCAGAGCCCCAAGGGTACTTGAGGCTCGGTGTGGGCTAAGAGAAATTGTGCCTTCTTGTGGAACATGAAAGCATATACCATCCCATTTGTGTGTCTACCACAGGTATTGCCATTGGTGAGCACTTCAGGCTTCTTTTCTAGCTTGCTTGTTTCTTCCCCTTCAGAAGATACGCAGAGTGATTTGTTTCTTAGCTATGAGGTCTAATTTCTCTTTTGATACCATCCAATAGAATAGTCCCTTAGAGTCATAATTCAAGGGCTCTCTTTATGTTATACTATGGCTCTTATGTTGTCCACAAGATATTTAGCTGTTTTGATTTATCGTTTTATTTTATTTTAATTTTTGTCACCGTTGGGAACTAAATTTGGGGCCTCATACATTCTAGGGGTGCACTGTACCACAGACCTACATTCCAGTCCTCCATTTATTTGTCTGGTTTCTTATTCTCTTTTATTATTAGTGGATATGCATTAGAATAATACACTAAAGGGCATTTTTGAGATCAGCAAATCACTTTTAATCATAGAAAGACATTTCTGAAAATAATCTCACAAAAACACCTGGGTCAATTTCTCAGGGCAGCCGAACACTTCGGATGAAGCTGTAGATAGCCAGCTTAGGGTATGCAGACTCAGCCACACAGTTACTATTTCTGTTTATTCACCTGCCCGGTTAACCAGGCATTGTGACGTATTTTGAGACCCTTAAATGATCATTTTCACAAACTTAAAGAATCTTTTGCAAAATTTAAAGTAGAGTTGAAAAGGTTGGAACAATACTATAAATAATATTATAAATTATAATTTATATGATCAGTTATTACAGATTAAAACCAGAAAGCCACCCAGCCCAGGAGTGGGGCAGAGAAGCAGAGAGGGGAATCGGAATGGTCACTCTTAAGATGTAGTGTCTGCTCTGATCCCTCAAAATGCGTGTGGGTAATCAAGGTGACAGGCAAGGTACATGGCAGGATAATAATTTGGCAGTGACACCCATTTGAGAGAGCAGTTGGGAGGGGGTCACTATTAAAGCTGGAATTGAAGAAGAAGAAAAAGTCAGAGTACGGAGAGGATGTCATTTCCATGAGAGATGGAGACCAATTAAGAGAGTCACAGCATATTATCAACGCATATGGTTCATATTTTATAGAAGAAAGATTTTAAAATACTATATGAAATGAACTAAAGAAATAAAAAAAAAGCCAATGCTGTTTGTGCTGGTTAGATTGCATCCATTTGACACACACAGGAGACTCTTGGGAAGAAGGAACCTCAGTCTAGGAATTTCCTCCATCAGATTGACCCGAGGGAAAATCT